GGGTCAAGTTCCTGGGATGATGGGAATACACAACTCTGTTACATTTGATAGTGTGCACGACACACATGAGATGATACGTACTCGCAAGATAGTTGGTCACATTTGTGGAATTCCTGGGCGGATGTGGGGATACACAAATACCTTTGTTACCAGTGCTAGACATGGCACAGACACTGAGAGAGAGAGAAGGCGAGACAGAGGAAGAGAGCGGGAGAGAGAGAGACAAAGAGAGAGAGAGACAGAGAGAGAGGAGTTCGTCACATTTTTTAATCAAATTCCTGTGCCGAAGTGGGAATACGCAAAGGCATCAGTTGCATATGACCCGTAGGGTACATGGTACACACGATCATGGTACGCACGCACAAGATGGTTGATCACATCTTTAGGGCAAATTCCTGAGGGATGTGGGAATACACAAGAGAGAGAGAGAGAGAGACGATATGGTTTCCCCGATGGTTGTCTCGATGGTTGTCCCGATGGTTGTCCTGATGATCGTGGTTGTCCCGATCGTCGTCCCCACGGTTGCCCCGATAGTTGTCCTGATGGTTATGGTTGTCCCGATCGTTGTCCACATGATTGTCCCGCTGGTTGTCCCGATGGTTGTTCGGATGGTTGTCCCGATGGTTGTCCCGATGGTTGTCGCGATGCTGCCATACTTTCTTTTTCTATCGCCCAGCCTCGGCGAACAGTGCCGGCGGGGGAACAGGGAGCATACTGCCAGAGCGCACTCATACTGTCATGAGCGGCCAAGGGCATGCGGCATACGGAACGGCACTCATACTGTCATGAGCGGCCAACGGCATACAGCCTACAGACGCGAAGGCTCCTCCTCCTGGGTCCCGTCCGTGATGGCGCCAATCCGCGGCGATACCTGAGGCTGGACAGGTGGCAGCACGGAGGCCATACGCGTCGCAATGGCGACATCAGGGATGTGTCCGAGCACGATGCTCATACGCCTGCTCGCGGATGCCGGGCCCGTGGCTGCGAGAGGAAATACCGCCAAGACGCCCGGGACCTGCACCGTGATACCGAGGTCCAGTCGGTAGTCCATTAGATTCCCATGCGGCGACTGGCCCCACGGTCGATATACGCCCTGGTGCCACCATTGGTCCTGCGTCGGGTATACCCCGGGCTCGCCCGCGGCAACCCACAGTGCCATACCCTGCGGCTCATACACTGCGGCTCATACCCCATGGGCCGTCGGCTCATACCCCATGGACGGGCCCCGGTCTCCGCGCGATACTTGTCCACCAGCGCTCGCCCCCTCAAGCCTTCTACGAAATACCAGTACTGGAGGTCCCTGCGCGACAACGCGTAGACGGCGCAATTGCCATGTTTGGCACCGTCTCCGAGTCGATACTTGCAAAGCCACTCTCGCAAGGCATATGGACCCGCCTCATACCCCCAGGCCTTCAGACGCACCTGCATATTCTGGTAAGTGAGGCCAAGGCCCAAGTCGGAGACCTGCTCTCGATACCGCTTGCCGCATGCCGCCTCTACAGCATCCCCCGTCAGCAGCTTTATACAAACCACTTCTGTGGAGGAAGAAGCTGCCGTGGCCTGCTGCTTCGATACGGGCTCCTCCCAGTCGACCGCGGCAGGCCGTTTGGCCACGCGGGCAGATCCGGCGGCGGCTGGCCGTTTCAATACCCCGCCTGCGACCTGCGCCGCCGGGCGCTTCAATACACGCCTGGTGACGGCCTGGGCGGATGAAGCCGTCGCCTGCACTGAAGAGCTCACCGACGCATACGCATCGCACCACTGTCTCAACACTCCTCGGGACACCAAGACAGCTTTCCGTCGCATACGCAACACGGTATGCAAGGTGTGGTACTTCAGCCCTGGATATACCGCGCGCATGTGGTCACCAAGTGCCGCGTCGAGCTTTTCAGCCGTGTCATACTGCAAAGGTCCAGAGTCAGGGTGATACTTCACGTACCATTGCCTCAAAACCATACCGCTGACAGCGACGGGAGGGTCGCTCTCCGAGAGAAGCTGCGAGAGGACCTCCGCGGCGGCCTCATCGGCGAAGCTCTCCCGATACTGATTGAGTCGAAGACGCTGGCCTATACATTCCTCCACAGCTTGGGCAGTATTCAATGCTCCCTTGGCGCCCCACTCCGTGCTGAGCCACTTCTGGCATACCCTGGCGTCAGCAGATACAGATAAATGTCCCAGGAGCCACTGCTTCAACACGGCCCCGTCAGTAGTCCCCTCGGGCATGTCTTTGCGAATACGTTCTCCATACCAGGTCTCCAGATGGCCAGCGTTCTGCACTTTGACAAGCGTCTCTTTGGAAGAATACTGCAGTAGCCACATCTTTGCGACCTGATCTGTCACATACAGTGGTGGATCCAACTGTCGGAGCGCCCCGCATAATTTGAAAGGTGTATTATACTCGATGCCCAGGTGGCGGATGGCAGAACCGTGCTGCTCCTCCAGCTCCTGGGCGCTAGAAATACTAACCTTGCCAGGCACAACCCGATATTTGCCCCACCAAGTCTTGCACGCCTGGTGACTGACCTGGATACCCTTTGCAACGAGCGCCTGATGCAAATAATACGGGCTCTCGCAGTCGGCCAAGGGAGGCCGCGACAGCTCTGGGCCATACTGGTCGTCAAGGGCTTTCGCCGACAAAGCCATGACCCATCCAAGAACACAGGCGATACCTTGATCCGAGATGGCTACGGATGTGACAGTGATCAGTCGGAGGCTTCCTGGGGCCGCTTGGGGTCCTCTTGGGGAAGGGGGGAAGCCTCCTGGCGCCGCTTGGGGTCCTCTTGAGGGGCTTTGGGGGGCTTCTTGGAAGCATCTTGGGGCCTCTTGGGGGCTTATTGGGTCCTCACGGCGGGCTCTTGGGGCCTCTTGAAGGCCTCCTGGGGCAACCTATGGCGCAACCAGTAGGGGGACGTTTTATTCTCGGCGGCCGAGGGCGCAACCTATGGCGCAACCAATAGGGGGGCGTTTTATTCTCGGCGGCCGAGGGCGCAACCTATGGCGCAACCGCAAGGGATTATGGCCCCTGGCAGGCGCGCGAACCCCGTTGCAAGAGCGTGCGAAAGTAGCTCGCGCGAGCTCATGTAACATAAATGTTGGAAAACCATTGGTTGTTTTAGGATTCGGACAGCGCGCGCGGGTGGAAATTTTGAAAAGTCGTGCAGGTGTTTTTCGAGGACCTACGGTGCGATTCGTGTGATTTTATGATGCGCGGTGCTAAAATTCTTAAGAAGCCCAATGGTTTTTGGAGATTTCGGCGTGCGCGCGCGAAGAAAAAACGAATGTGTCCCGCATGGTATTATTTGACAGGGATGATGGCCCTGGCAGGTGCGCAACCGTTGTCGCAGAAGTTCGAAAAAGTTGCTCGCAAAAGCCCGTTTGACAGAAATGTTTAAAAAGTGTTGGGTTTCCTACGAATCCGCAAGAGCGCGCGGGATGAGATTTTGACATTTTTTTGTTGAAAAACCATTGGTTTTTTGATGTTTTTATGTTAAAAAACACTAAGCTTTTGGAAGGATTTCGTCTTGCGCGCGCGAATGTCCACTTTACCTTATTTTTTGCAAGGGATTCTTGAAATTTGATTATATTAGAACAAGAAATGTCATTTTATAGTGTTTTTTGCAAGGGAAAACGGATTACAACAAAACAACCGGATCTGGACCCCATCCACTTTTCTGAAGCTTTCGCGAAAAAATGATGAAAATGTAGCTGCGGCCTAGGCGCGGCGGGGGGGCCGTGCACCAGGGGTCCCAACAATAATTATTCTTTAGAATTAATAATGTTCAACAACAACAACAACAACAACAACAACAACAACAACAACAACAACAACAAACACACACACACACACACATCGGTTTAAGACTGTTCGCTCTTGTCTGCGGCGTACGTGTCAGTCAACACGTATATCACAAGCCCTCGATACCCGCCCTCTTCGTCTACGATCGTCATAAGGGGAAAATAGTTCTTACCTGCAACGTGTATTTCGTGCAGCCCGTAAGGCAGGGGAAGAGAGGACGGATGGAACGAAAGGGCAGGCGCGTTGCTGAAGCGTGCATCCTGCATGAATCGTGAGGAAGTCTCGAGCGATAGCGCACCAATCATCCTCCTTCCGTGAAGCTACTGCAAAGTTTGGAAACGAATGTGCGCGGCGCTGAAGCGAGAGCAACATTTTGAAAAGGACCCGCCATCCTTCCTTGCAAATGTCGCAAATGTTTAATCTTCAGGATTAAAAATGCAGAAGGAATCTCAGGCGAAATGCCTGGCCCGACCTACCAACAAGTCTGGGGGTGCGACAGGGTGGAATTACTTATAAGGACAAACGATGGAGACCAAAAAAACTCCAAAGAGGCCCGAAAAGGCCCCCATCAGGCCCGAAAGAGGCCCCCAGAGGACCCCCCGGAGGCCCCCAAAAGCATCACCCGTTGATTTCATCCCTCTTCTGGGGGGCAGCGGAAAAGGGATGGAGGAGGAGAAGGAGAAGGAAGGAGGGAAAAGGGAGGAGGGAGGAGGGAGGAGGGAGGAGCAAGGAGGAGCGGGGAGAATGGAGGGAGAGATGTGGGCGACAGCGACAAACTCCCGCGGAGACCGTCTCAAGTCATGCAAGCACTAAGAGCTCTGAGACCGATTTGCAGTCGAAGACAGCAGGCTAGCGCCCTACAGGAAGGAGGAGGAGGAGGAGGAGGAGGAGGGAAGATGGATGGAGGATGGAGGAGGGAGAGCACCCGACAGCAGCGATGGCAGCGGTGCCTCTGGACGTGCTGGACCATACACTGGACCAGCACATCCAGGGCAAACGAGCTACGCCCACCAGATCCGATCGGATCCTGGCGAGGCACAGGAGCCAGCGGCTGCCGAGGGGCCCCTCGAGCACCCGTGTAGCGAGAGTGCGAGCAGACGAGGAAGCTGGTGGTCTGACTCCATGCTCGAATATTCTGGCCTCTGCATAGTGGGCCGTCAAGCTTCAAGATCGACCTCGCGCGTGCAAGCGGCGGCAACAACGCTCCATGATGGTGTCGGACCGCTTGCTGTCCAGGACGTTCATGTCCTGCTCCACCCCCCCTCATGATCTTGCCCTCCTCCCTCCTCGCAAACCTCAGTCTCCTCATCCGCCTCAGTCCTCATCATCTTCCTGCTCGGTGAGGAGCTGCCGGACAAGGAGAAACGCCCACCAGAGGGTGCTCCAGTTGGCTACTGGTGCCAAGCCCGCCTGGAATTCTCGAGCCCCCACACCGCGAACGAGATCGAAGCCAGCCTGAGGGTGAAGGCAAATCGTAATGAGATCGCAGCATGGCAGATAAACCGAGGGCGATGAAAAAGAAGGGAAACACATCCGCACTTGCAACCCCAAAGGGGGACAAATGAGGAGCGATGGAGTATGGCGAAGAAAGTCGAACCTATACAACAAGCGCTGCGCCGAGGTCGGCTACAACACGTGCTATGCCGCCACCTCGTCCAACACATGAACGCGCCTCTGAACCCAACTGGTCCTAAGGCGCGGAGGCCGACACGCTCACGCCATGGAGCGCGCCACAAGTTGTCCTGGGGCAGCTGGTTCGGCAATCTTCTAGAATCTTGGACAGGAAAAATCGCACATGACTACACATGACGTCGCCGCATATCACAATGGCCCCAACGGGTCTGAAATGCCCGCGCCAGGACATGCGAGATTGCTGGAGGCGACTGAAGGATATGAATACAATGAATGCGATGCGGCTGCGGACTGAAGTGTAGCCGAAGACCCTTGGCATTTTCTTCACGCATTCACGGGCGGTTGGTGTGAGCGGCGTTTGTTTCTCATAAACCCCGAGCACATGGCGGACTGGATGCAACCCAATTTTTCCTTCCGCGAGCACACGATGATCCACCCATACAAAGCAAAAGATCCATCCACATAATAAGCAACACGACAAGCAAAGTTCTTTAGTAAACGAAGCCAAATAGGGAATCGAGCAGGGCAGGGCTTTTTAGTAAACGCCCAAGGACGTGTAATAAACGCCAGTTGTCGGGGTCAGGGTGGTTTTCCCTTCCGTGAACCATACAAAATTCACCTCCCAATGCCGAACAGCAGGAGCCCTCTGCCAGAACTCGTGTGGTGCAGCTCTGCGGGACCCTGTCGGGCCAAGAGCCCATGGAGCAGATGGAGCTGAGCAAACTCACTCACAAATAATTCCGCCAGCCCTCTGGGCGTAGCTGGTTTAATGAACTTTGTCTTCTCTGCCCAGGGGAAGATTTATCACTCTTCCTTATTAATCTACACCCCCTCCCCCAAGCGACCGGGGGCCAACCAGCCACCATGCCGACACCATGCCCACCCGCCCCCCACCATCCGTCGAAGAAATACAAGCCGCATTCTGTCTCCACATTTGGAACATGCGTGGCCAACCCGATGCGACCCCCCCACCATCCGTCAAAAATCAACGCAAAGAATATTTTAGGGGCAAATTCTTGAGTCATGATGGTGAGGCCCGCGAGCACTGCGTATTGTTTTTGACAAGGACGGCGGGGGTGTCGACAGATTCCCTGCTGTGTGCGAAGCTACCATCCCTGACAAATAAAACAAAAACAATACAACATGCACCTCGCGGCAAAACCTGGATCATGCGCGGCCATCCCGCGATCACTGTCAAGTGGTTTTTGACAGGGACGGCGGGGGTGGTGGCGCGTGGCCTGCTGTGCGCAGGCCCAGCAGACACAATGATGGACATCGGTTTTCGACAAGGATGGCGGGGGCCGACATGTTTCCCGATGTTTGCTGTCACGTGCGCAGGCGCACCTGACGCACTCTGCACGTGCCCCGAACGCGGCGCACCTGGCGCGGCTGGAGTGTGCGGCACACCTGGCGCACTCGGAGCACGTGGCCCATCTGGAGCACCAGGCGTGCCTCGCACGCTCGGGCCCCAGGGGTACCTCGCGCGCGTGGCGCCCCTGGCACGCGTGGCGCACCTCGCCCACGCGTCGCGCACCTGGGGTCGGCTTTGGTTCACAGTAGCTGCCCATCCAAAGACGACCGCTGAACATGCTCGGGCTCGGATGTTACTTACGGCTTGCGGGCGGGTGGGTGTCTTGACCCCTTCCCCTACCCCCTCCCCTGGGCCCGCATGCTTCTACACTTCCCTGATCAAGGCAACTCGCCTGGCGATCTGTTTCTGGATGGGCTGGTAGGGATACTTTTGAATCGCAGCTGCAGGCGAGCGAGCCGACAGCGTCAGTAGAGCAGCACGGGCCGCGAGCACCCCAATTGCCGGCGCGCGCGCCGAGCAAGCAGACTAAACCTACCGCCGAGGGAAGCTGAGCCGGGGCTTGGCTGCGCCGAGGGGTGGAAGCTGCCAGCTGCGGAGGCGGCTGGAAAGTTACAACGTGCGAGTACCATGGGAGCGAGATCGCCAGGCACGGGAATTAATCCTTGCCGCCACCGGGCGGGCTGGTAGGGATACGCCAAGCATCAAGAATTGACAACGCTACCAACAAGCCTGACGTTCCGTGCGTGGCGTGGGCTGGAAG